GCGGTTTGTCGCTGAAAGGAAGGACTTTACGAGGGAAAACCTGAAATGATAAATTGCTTTCAGGTTTCCTCCCAGAGCTGGTGCAGCCCCATCCACTTGCCCTTCTTGACTTTCCTTCCAAGCCTGTGGAATGATTTAGACCACGAGATGGAAAGAACAAAAGCAAAAGAGAGCTTGGGAGTAGTGTCAGGAACTGGATGGAGAAAAGACGAGAAGGGCTGGATGAGTCCCGCAGAGAGCTGTGGTCTCGGACATGTGGTTAGGCAGGGGCAGAGCGCTCCAAGCCCTGTGTGACCTGGGGTCACAGCCACCTGGAAGGCTCAGGGGTGTGCATTGTAGGCTGCAGGTGGCTAGAGGTGGGGTCTCTCCCAGGGGGTGCTCCTGGGATGTGACTATTGCCACACAACTGACCTCAGACTTTCCGATGATTTCATATTTATTTATTTGGTTTTTATTTAGAGATTCTTAGACTCTCATTTGTATTAATTCTTAAACTTCTCTACCCAATACGTAAATCTTGTTAGGAAAAGCCCACATAGGACCTAAAGCCTGTCTCCCTCATCTTCCAAGTGTCAGTACCCATGATCAGTGGGTTTTACACTTTTTTCTTGGTTCTCTCTTCAAATAAAATTTCCATTGGATAATAATGGAAATTTATTTTTATTGAGTGCTCGGAATGTGCCAGTTACCATGTGATGCTCTTTGTGTTTTCTCATGCTGTCCTCAGCACAGTGCTATGAAGTCCTAGATTTTGCAAAGGAGGTGAAGAAGGTCAGGCACAGAAGGGTGAAATCCCTTTTCAGGGTCACACAAAGAGAAGTAGGTCAGCACCAGCAACCAAGTGTTGCCGTTCACCACCTCTGTGTTGTACTGTCTTCAGAATTGAGTGCAGGCACTTGGTTGAGGGGATGGGGTGGAGAGAGGGAGGTGGAGCCTGGTCTTCCCACCTGTCACCTCAGGTCCCCCAGGAACCCCCTAAAGCTACCCCAATCTAGAAACCTCTGTGCAGACCAAGTAAGAACAAAATTCTCAAGCAAAGGGGGTACCACCTTGGCATTTAGGGGTGAAGTATATGGGTGTGGAGAGGTTCAGGACAGAATTCCAGAAAGCAGGGGTGAGGCCAGGATATATGGTTTTCCAGATGTTTGGCTACTGGAACTTGATTGGAGGAATAATCTTTTAAAAATATCATATGCTTGTGAAATATATGTGCCCCCTTGCATATTTTGATTGATTTTGCCAGGATTTATAATTTGTTCTATTAAAAGAGCCAACAGAAAAGCCAGAGTGAGCGAGTGCAGTTCTATTTTGCAGCCTGTGACTGTGCACTGTCCAGCTGGCAGGGCAGCCAAGCAGCGGCCCTGCTGCAAGAGCAGGTCAGCAGCTCCTCGTGGTTGGCACATGGAGGGCACAGGCTCAGCTGCCTCTGCTACGGCCATTTAAAAAGATTGTGAAAACAGCTGTTTCTCTCTGCCCTTTCACATCATCTCTCCAGTGCCGGCGATCTCTCTCTCTGTTTTTCCTTATCTTCCCTTCTTGGGTCTCAGAGTATCTAAGCTGCCAAATGAAATGGAAAGGTTGAGAGGGAGACCCGTGTGGCTTTTGGGCAGTAAATGAAAAATGAAGAGAGAAGAGAGAAAGCTGTTTGCCGCCCACTGGGAGTGAAGCAGGGCTCCTGGCTGCGGGGGGCGCTGTCCAGTGCCAGGTACATTGCTAAACACATTCTAGGAGGCAGGAACTGTTTCAGGGGAGGAAAGCCTAGCTGAGAGATGTTAGGACTCCCCAGGTCACGGGCTGGGAAGTGGCCACACCGGCCCTCCCTTGCAGACTTGCGCAGCTAGCTGCCATGGGGGCAGCTCTGAGTCAAAATGGAGTTTCCTGAAGGCCGGCGAGGGCCTCAGGAGAGATGTGTCAGAGCCTGCTGGGCAAGGCGCATGGCCAGCTCACAGAGTAGTGCCCAGAGGCAAAGGTGGCTGACCCTTGACACACAGCTTCTGCTGACACTCAGACTGATGCCTTTCTCTGAGGAGAGGAGGCCAGGAGGCCCCACCACTGGGCATCCCTCCCACTGTGGGGCTCTGAGGAGAACTGGGCCTAGGAGGCGCAGTGTCCAAGCAACTCTGAGGGACAGGCTCTTCCTGGAGACTAACCTTTCACATGCAATTTTGACCTTTAACAGGTCAGAGACAATCAGCTCCAGGTGGCAAGTCAAAAATCTGACTCCTCCCTCAGGGAGTGTTAGGAAGCTCGCTCCCTCCTGGAGGAAATTTTATTTTCATTGGCCTCACACCTTGGTGAGAAAGTCTATTCTCTCAAAGTGTGGTGGGGAAAAAAGCAACATCTGTGATGTTGCTTGGTATATTGATTTCAAATACATAAATTTGAAATCAGAGAAGCTTCTGGAAGGGACCTTAGCAATGACTTGGTCCAATCCCTTGGGTGAAAGCTGTGTCCATCTAAGACTGTTAGGCTTAAGCCACACTGGCTGTCATTCCTACTGTTAATGGTCTTTTGTTGTGGTGGTAAAATATATGTAGTGCATGTTGGTGGGAGTGCAAACTGGTCCAACCACTATGAAGAGCTGTGTGGAGATTTCTGGACCTACTAAACATAGAGCTTCCATAGGATCCAGCAATTCCACTCCTAGGTATTTACCCAAAGGACACAGAAACATCAATTCCAAAGAACACCTGCACCCCTATGTTTATAGCAGCACTGTTTACAATAGCTAAGCTTTGGAAACAACCCAAATGCCCAAAAATAGATGACTGGATCAAGAAGATGTGGTACATATACACCATGGAATATTACTCAGCATTCAAAAAAGATAAACACATGCAATTTGCAGCAACATGGATGGCGCTGGAAGGGATCATGCTCAGCGGAATAAGCCAGAAAGAAAAAGAAAAATACCGGATGGTCTCACTCATAGCAGGAATCTAGAAAACTTAAATAAGGGACCAGGAAAATGAATAACTGTAAGAAAGTGAAAATCAAAATCAACAAAAAACTATGAACCAGAGACACTTTTTGGGGAGTGGGGGGCGGGAGGGGAGGGATTGGGGTCAGAATGGGGAATATAAAAATAAAATTTATTATTTAAAAAAATATATGTAGTGCAAAATTTATCATTTACCTTTTTAAAGTGCATTTTAGTGGCATTAAACACATTCACATTGTGCAGCCACTACTACCATCCATCTCCAGAACTTTTTCATCATCCAGAACCAAAGCTAATCCTTACTTGTTACACACACCTGGGCCCAGACCTGTGCCTGACCATGCTGCAAATATCTCACACGAATTAACTCACTTCGCCCTCATAAGAGCCTTACCAGGTACACATTATTACTACCTCCATTTTACAGATGAGAGGGCTGGGGAGAAGAGGTTAAGAGGGCGCAGTTGTTAAATGTCAAGGTCAGACTATACCTGTAGGACAACTGTCTCCCAAGTCTGGTTTCCTGCCTGGGGTGTTCCCTGGGGCAGACATTGGGGCCCATTGCTACCCAGCAGAATAGTCAGGAGGTGGGGTGACCTGGAAGGCAGGGGTGGTGGTGCAAGGTGGAGGAAAGGCCAGGAGCTGTGTCCCATGGGTGGAACTCATGGACAGGGAATGGGGACATGACAGCTGTCATGTTGTCACTTCAAACTTAGTTGCAACCAAACTTCAAGGGGAGACAATTGACCACATTTCTCTGTCTTTTTGGGAAACAGAATATTTCTTAGACCTTCTTGTATAGATATCTTCAGGATTCAAGTCCAGAGGTAATTATCTGGACCTTTCATAGAAGGTGGGCACGTCCTGTGTGTGTGCGTGGTGGGGGGTTGGGGGGTGCAGGATGGAATTATGTAGATAAGCACCTGCTCTATGCAGCCCTGGTGGTGGTGAATGTTTCCCAACAACCTGGGAGGCTTGATCTCTCCAGACCTCAAGTGCGGACCCTGAGCTGGGGCACAGTGGGTTAAGGTTCTGTGGGGTCTGACAGCTAGATTAGCACTTGCATCACCACCCCGCCCCCCCCCGGGCATGCACCTGCCAGTGGCAGCCGCCCAGGCTGCTATGGTGTGCAGTCAGTGAAGTGCCTGAGGATAGAGGCCCTTGGAAGGTTTCTGGGGCAAAGCTCAGCTGGCCTCCCTCTGGCCTGAGATTTGCACAAGGCTCGGTGCTTCCTTCTCAGGCAGAGAGGACTCGGCTGAGTGAGAGAGGGGACGTGGGGTGGGTGGCCCCAGAGACAGTGAGGAGACTCATATTTGCAGAGAGCTTGCTTTGTGCCTGTTTATTTTATACTCTTTGGCTTGCTCAAACCCCGTCATCCCTGCTTTAGGGATATAAAACTGAAAAGGAGATAGACACTCAGAGAATAACAATAACATTGATAATAATGTTATTATAGTGACATTACTAGTACTATTACTGTCAGCCACAGCTTTACATCATGTGTAAGATGACCACAAAGGATGATTAAGAGCGCAGATAAGTCAACTCATATGAAACTTAACTAACCATGAGACCTTGGATAATCACTTAACCTCTCTGTGCGTCAGTTTCTTCATCTGTAAAACAGGGGTAATAGTTGTTTTTTTCTCTTAAGGATTCTATAAATCAGATGAGTGCTTGGCATGGGGTCTTGTGTGGGACTGGTATTCAGCAAATGTTAGTTAAAACCATGATGACTAGGCACTCAAAGCTTAGTTGATAACAGACGCCCAGTTTTCCTTCCATTACATTATTGAAATAAATTAACTCTAAGAGACTGGCATTATCTCCATTTTTCCTGTAAGCAAATAAATTTTAACAAATAAAAAATGAAGCTCAGAGAGGTTAGCTGAGCCCCCAAGATCACAGAGCTGGGAAGAGGCTGGGGGCAGATCCAGGGCCTCTCCTGGCCTCTGCCCTGAACAGGGTGAGAGCCGGCCTCTTCCGGGCCCAACATGGCCAGCACCGTCTTGTCCCCCTCCCCAGCCCAGCTCAGATGGGCTCCTCCAGGCGTACGCACCTGTCTGATGCTCGAAGGCAGGATAGTATTCTTCATTGCTGAACAGATCAGTCCACGACATCAGCGGGTCGCAGAAGGATGCACTGGGCAGGAAGCTGCTGTGTGTCACCGAGTCCAACATCACCCTGCAAGAGGGGAGAGGCTGTGAAGAGGCAGACGAAGCCCCTCAGCGGGGCAACACTTGGGCTTTATAGCCTCAGTGAGCCTATATGAGCCTCCTAGGGACCAGGCATGTCCTGAAGTGCTTTCCACCAGGACATTATTTAGTTCTCGCCCAATCTAAGACATTTGTATGTATATCCCCATTTTATAGACTAAAATATTGAGGTGGAGGGGCTGAGACAATTACCCATGTAACTTGGCCTATAAGTGGCCAGGTTGGGAATGCAGACGAGTTTCTTATGATTACAAGGCTGTCTCTTTATTTTTCCTATTCACTTACATCTGACACCCCTCTCCAGCTCTGACTTCTAACGTCTAGCAATGTGCTCCTGAAAGCAGGGCAAGAATTGCTATAAATGAATCTATTCACAAACCCTGATGCACAATTCTGAAATCCAAATGCTTTGAACCTGCATGTGTGTGCATGCGTTTGGTGCAAACTTATATGCCAACAAAAAACAGCCCTGAATTGATGTTATATATCTTTGCATACTGTTACACATGTGTTACACACACACACATATAGATGAGCTACATATATGCATAGTCACAGATTTCTTTATTCTAGTTGATGAACATTCATATGATACATGACAGAAATATTAATGCTTTTAAGTGGTCCTAGCAAGCAATACCTTGAGGGGAGTGTTGTGTATTCTCCTTTCTGTACACTGCATAACCTTCCTAATATCTGGCGAATTTTGTGTTTTGTAGCACACCTAGCCCTGGAGTTTGATAAGACAGTGAGGACCTGTGACACTTGTAGCAGACAAGTCACAGTCTTTGTTCACGGTCTCCTTAGAACCACAATTCTGAGACAGGCTTGTAGAGGTTTGTTTTACAGATGAGGGGTGATGCTCTAAAATTCTAGGCAACATGCCCCCCAAATACCCAGCTGGCAGGTGGTAGAGTTTGGGTGACAACATAGGTTTGTCTGTTTGAAAAGTCCATAATCCTATTTGTTGTGCTCCATTCCCAGACACGCTGGCAGGTGGGAAGCTCTGAGACAAGGTGTCCAGTGGAGGGTGGCGAGGGAATGGACTTCGGGTCCCTGCATGCCTGCCTCCTCACCAGGCCAGTCTCATATTTTAAGTTGCTTCTTTGCTGCTTCCCATAGTCCCACAATTCAGAAAAAAAAGTCCATGTTTGATGGATTAAAGAAATCTGTTCCCCAACTTCTCTTTTCTGATGCCCACAGTAATGTGGAGGAGCTATGGGTGTTTTACTCCCATTTTGCAGAGGACACGGCCTCTTACGATCACAAAGTTGCGTCAGAGTAATGACTGCATTATGGGTCCTGGGATATTAAACTAATGTTCTTTTAATATAATGAGCTTGTTTCCCAAACTTTTAGTTGCCTACCCCCAACCATGATAACTGCTATAATATTAAAATAAATCAATTTTCTTTTTTGGGGGGTGTTTCAGTATATTTGCTTTAAAACACAGGTCTAGTTTAATATATGCTTTACACATATGTTTTCCATATATGTATAAAACACAGGTTTAGTTAGTTGTGTTATATATGATCTCATTTTCATTAAAATATCTGTGTAAAGGCATAGAAAAAAATTAAGAACTACAGTTGCACAAAGGAATTGAAAGTAGTTATTCAGGGATATTAAATTTTAGGGTGATATAAATTTCTTTTCTGTGTATTTTCTATTTTTATGCAGGACATGAGGAATGTTAGTATGTATATCATGTACCCCTCAAAAAGAGCAGTCGATGCCTTAGAGGGGAAACAGGGCTGGGTAGACAAGATGCCTGTATTGGACCCTGGATGGATTAGTAACAAGGTGATTGACCTGATCCTGCCGTGATAGCGGCCTGGCAAGCAGACACAGAGGCATTCTCCTGCCAAGATCCCTTAAAGACACTACAAGTCTTTTCTCTAGTGGGTCTGACCACCTTCTTAGTTGGGTCTTAGAGCTGGCAAACATCCAGCAGACATCTAGCAGGAGCCCCAAGCAGATGACTGCCAGGGTGCAGGTGCTGAGTGACAACAGAGTGCAGACACCCCCCATCATGACCAAGGTCAAGATCAAGTTACTGATCTTCTGCAGCATCAATGCACCCAGGAGGGCAGCAGCCCCCACCCCAGCCTATAACCTGTCCTACAGACTCTGGATAGCTGTTGGGATCTGGTTGGTAACTCAATGCCTTCAGTGGGAACCTTTGGGTGAACTTCACAAACTGGGTTTTCATCTGCTCAGACCAGGGAGCTGAGATCTGTTCCCAGAACTTGGCCAGCCTGGTGAGGGCAAACAGCAGATTTGCAGGGCAGGAGCAAATTGCCAGTGCCTCACAGTCCTCCTTTGTTTTGACATAACTACATTTATTTAGGCGGAAAACTTTCTATCACCACTATGAATGGAAAGTCAATATTCTTTTAACTTTCATAAAAATAAAAATATAAGCATTTAAATAAAAATTGTTCTTCTATGCACCACCTGACTCAGGTTAACAAACTACAACCTGTAGACCCAATCCAGCCCACAAGCTAATTTTGAATGGCCAGCAGCTAAAAATGGTTTTGCATTTTTAAGTGGTTACATTTTAATGGATATGTAAGTTCCTACGTAATATCCTTGATTTTGACTCTTGGCCCACAAATCCTAAAATATTTACTATCTGGCTCTTTAAGAGAAAGTTTGCCTACCCCTAGCCAAATTCATCTTCTGTTTTATGAGCAATACGAGTACCACATGTGGGAAAGTGCCGAGTTAGTCTGATCTTTCCTCTCTGCCTTTCTACAGTTGAGAAAATGAAAACCCAGGAAATGAGTGTAACTTGCTCAAGGTCACACAGTCAATGGAGATGGTTACACTGTAGAGCATTCTTGCTAAGTTTTCTGACTCTTGCCTCATCTGCTTCCCTTTTTATAAATGCTCAAGGTCACATCTGCCCAAGGCCGTCTCCTAGACCCTCTTACATATCATATAGGCATTTACTCTGAGAAGAGCAGGGATGGTGTGTTTCCAGAATCAAAGACTGATTGCTTGCGGGTGTTTGCAAATCTATTGTCATCATCACTATCAAACACGCATGAAAACTGTGCTGCTGATAAAGATAAATGAGTTCAAACCTCACACGTGGGCGCTCTTTCTGGGTCCTGGCTGGGAATCACCAGCCCTGCTAGGAAACCTGTTCCTGATGCCCAGCGAGGGTTAACGTGTCCAGTGGATTATCACCTTCATGCATCGCTCCCTTGGGAGTCATATCAAACAGAGGTCAAGGCTGCCTGGGTCTGGGCTCTGATTTTCCCATGGATTGCCTGGTTTTATATCCTGAGCAGGAGGCAAGACGAGGAGGGATGGGGGAGGGAGGTTAAGAGGGAGACAAGGGGCCCTGGAACCCAAATCCCTTTCTACTTTCTGGATTCAGCCTCAGAAATGTTCCTCTAAGTGAGGTCTTAAGGTAAACAAGGCCTCCTGCCCTCTGGCCCAGAGACTTAGAAAACTGAGGAAGAGACTCACTGGCCTCCTGCGGGATCTTCAAGGGTGGGTTTGGAGAAAGGAGAGATCTATTCCGAATGGAAAATAATAGGAGACAATGCCTAGATCATCACAGTCAGTGAGTAACCCTCCAAACACAAAACTCCACAGCAGGCGTGAGCCCTTCCTTATCTGTGCCAGACAAACAGCTGTCAAAAGTCTATTGGTAAATTGAATACGAGCATTTAAAAATTAAGAGTATTTTTGGTCAATAGGTGTTTGCCTCTCAGGGATTTTTTTTCTCTTTCCACCAGGCCACTCCCTCGCGCTGTAACCTCTCTGGTGTTACACACAGTGTTGTATCCGATTCCCTTTGGTAATTCCTCTTATAGCAAATTATATCTATTAAGTTTTCTTAAAGGGCTCTCTCGGGTATGCAGCATGTTAGTTTCCTTTTGTAATTATTTCTTGCTTTTTGGAAAAATGTATTTTATAAAAGCAACAGCTGATTTTTTTTCTTTCTTTTTTTGCTGCCATTACAGAGAGGGGGGGTATTGTGAACTCTGAGCTCTCTATGAAAGTCCCAGGCCCCTTAGCCAGCATGCTCAAGGCCCGAGGCTTAGGAATAATTGCTGCTTTATTTTTCAGTAGCTCCACTGTTTCAGGCACTCTACGGTTCTTGCAATAATTGAACACTTTGGCTCTTAAGATTTTTTTTTTTTTATGTGGGGCAGGGGACAGGGTGGGTGGGAAAGAACACCTGTTTGGGGATTCTTTTTCAGTAAGGACCTTGAGGACCAGCAATATGGAGATCCAGACCTGAGTCAGACCAGGCATCCCCCAAGGGGGTGACAGTGCCCCCAGAGGGAGAGGGTTGGCTATTAGGGTTAAAGCAATCTTAGACATTGGGCATCCCTGGTGGTGCAAGGGGTTAAACACAGCACTATGAAGCATGAGTTCATTACCCCGGCTGGCCAGGGAGCTACCCACATGGCGCAGCAGACCTCTACTGTCTCACCTGCTGCTCCCCTCCACAGTGTATTTCAGTAGATCTGCCTGTTCTGCTCCCCACTCTGTCTCTGGTGAATCCTCTCACCCCCGCCCCCAACACCTCTGGCCTTTACCCCAGTTCTTGTATGCATAAATCAATCTTAAAAAAATAATCTTAGACTTTACTAGTTCGTGCCTGTCCCAAGGACATGGCACCAAAGCAGATACATAACGTTGCTATGACGTTAATATTTTGCAACTAAGGAAAAGTTGTCTGGAAAGAGTGATCATGAAAATAAAAAGACTGAGAAGCTCTGGGTTAGTGACCTATAGTTAGTGACCTATGATCAGTAGCAGAACAAGAAGGGGACATCAACAGAGGGTCTTAGGCCCACTGTTCTAGTTTTATATTTTTTATTTTAGGGGTTGGCTGCTTTGCCATCATAGAGACCACTGGGCTGGGGCGGGGAAGTCATGATTCTGCCTCTTGTACGGACCTCTCCAAGCCTTAATTCTTCATCTACTAAATGAACACATGGAGGACATGGACTTCAAGGTCTGTTTGAGTTTCCTGATTTTCAATAGGCACCCACCCGATGGGGCCGGTACATCTAGTGTATGCACGCACATTGGTTAATTGTGGGTATTGTGGTCAAGCAAGCTCACTATTATAAACAGAGATCAAACTTTTATCTCAGAAAAAGACCCCTGATTTGTTCTTCTCCCTTCCCTCCTACGCCCATTACTTGCAGCAGTAGACTGATTCACCAGGCCCCTTTAGCCCTCTGGACTCTCACTTGCTGCCCACAGCTGTTGGAATTAGTTTTCCCAAAATGTAATCACCATCTTAGCTACCTCGTAAGTAGGAAAGGCACAAGAGTGATTCGCACAGGTGGAGGAATCAGGTGGGTTCTGAATCAGGTGTGCGAAAGGCTGGCTGCCGGTACCTTTCGGAATGAGACAGTGATGGTGTGGAATCTGAGGTCCCCCAGGCCTCCAGTGGCCTCCTCACCTTTCTGAGAGCCGGCTCACTCACCCAGCGTGCACAGGGAGGGTCCACCCAGTCAAAGGCACAGGCCTGTGGGCTCCTTACCCCAACAGGAATCAGAGGCAGCGGTCCCAATGCCCATGGCCTGAGCAACCAGGCACCTCTGCTCAGCCTTCCAGAGAGAGGGGAAGGTACAAACCACCCAGTCTCGGCCAGTTTTCCAGAGGAGGAAAATTCCTTCCTGACCCTGGCCGGGAGATTGTCAACTTCACTCTGGGCATGTGATCAAAAATCCATCCAATGAAGCATCTAGAAATTGCTGTTTATGCACCAGAATATCACCAGGCAGAACAAAGCTGTGAGGGTATAAATCATGGAAAAGGGGACCAGGTAAAGCTTTCCCTCATCCTGCTATCTGGGCAGTCTCTCGGGGAAGAAAAATGTTTTTCCTCCTCCAAAGTGTTCAAGACACCCCAATGTCTACCAGATCTCTAGCCCTGAGTCAAATTTCCAGCTCTTGGGCCTCCCGAAGAAGGGACCACTGAGGAAAACACAATGGATGTTTTCAAAACTTGCAGTTAAAGAAGGATTGTGGGTTGGGTGCTGGAGTGTTTGTTCTTCTGGGAGAAATTAGAGCAGCCATGAGAACAGACTGATGGTAGCCAAGTGATTTCTCAGTTTCCTTTAGCTTACTCTGGATCTGGAGTTTTCCATTTTATTCGTTTATCTGAAGGTATAGCAAGGACTCATAAGAGGTCTGCTGTAGTTTTCTGTGGGCTGTACTGTAAAGCTCACAGACTTTGCATGAACTCCACCAGGATTTAAATTCTAGCTCTGCCACCTATAAAGCCAGGATGCAGGACACATTTCTCACTGCTTAGTCTGCTAAAGTTCTTCATTTTGTTTTGTTTCTTACAAGCTGTGGTGTATATAAACCTGTGACCCTCTCTGGGCTTCAGTTTCCTCGTCTCTAAAACAGGGATTTTAACCTGCAATTCTTAGGATATCCTGAGAATTTAATAAAATTTGATAATATCTGCAGAGAACTGGGAATAATGCATATGGTCATTCTCCGGGGAGAGAGGGTAGGGGTGAGAAATCAATTTTAGTAAATATAGCTGAAAGGTTGCGACTTGGGTGACTTCTGAGAAGAGAAAACAATCAAATTGTGAAAACTCCTGCCAAGAATACCCTGAGTCGTGATAAACATTCTTAAAGAAAACATGGCAGACAAGTGGATTAAACTTCCACTTGGAGAGGTAAACAGACCCTCTCCTGGGGTCTTTCAACTAGACTAAATCACAAAGCTGTCTCCATACCTTTCTGGGACACAGTTGCCTCATCTGTAAAATGAAGGGGTCATACTTAATCATCTCTGATATCCTTTCCAGTTTATAAAATTCTTGCACATTCAAAGATCCCTTTTGCTAGAGGAAGGAGGATGTGCTACCCAGAGACGGCCAGCAGGGGGCGGGTGAGCAAATAAGAGCTCCGCACACCAGTCTTGGAAAAGGTGGGAGAAGACAGTGGAAAATCCCTAACCATTGCTATTCTAGAAGCATTCTATTCTGAAATGGTGTGGGAGGGCAGAATGAGTTTCTGTTAAACTATGCTGTACAGACAAATTCCTGAAAAATGCCCCCAACCGTGATAAGGCAGCTATGGTCTTGTCCTTGTATGAGGAGGTGGGGGTGTAGGCCACAGGGGAAAAGGACGGGATTGAGTTTCCCTTGCAGCTGAATATTTCTTCGTGTAAAATCCAGATTCTGTTCCTAAAGACTGTCTTTAGGAAGGATAGAGAATTGAGCGCCTGTAAGCATTCTCTCTTAGTTCCCCAGGGTTCTGTCAAGCGACCCTGAGGCAGTGGGGGGTGCAGAGGAGTGTGGTGGCTACCCAGCTTGAGTAGGCAAAACTGTCTCCCCCAGGTAAGCAGTTAAACCTGAGTCACACAGTTTCCGGAGACGCTGGGACTGATGGACCTGGCAGGAGGGTCGGCCGTCTGGAACTGGAGATGGACAAATACACCCAGCTCCCAGCCCAAGCCTCTAAGCCCTGACACTCCTAACAATTCAGCCAAAAGAGCAAAGAAAAGGTGCTTACTTGAGGACAGCGGTGACTAGGTCCAAAGAGGAGGCTTTCAAGGCAAGAGAAGGCAGGCGCTCCCAGCACCAGTGTACAGTGGAAATAAAGGCACCTGTAGCCTTGTGATATAAGTAACACCTACAGACAGGTCCGTTTGGTTTTTCAGGTTTACGCACAGCCCCTTTGATGACGGTGACATGCAGTGTGACACGGCTACTTGGGGGTGGGGGAGATGGTTCTCACATGCAGAAAGTTTACCTTTATCCTGCTTTTGTGTCCAGCTCACCAGCCCCCACCCCAGCCTGGGGGGGGGGTAGGGGGGCCAGTAAACAAGCCCAGAAGTCTTGCCTCTGGGAGCTTTGTAGGATCAGAATTTACTGGGAATTCTCCTTTGTGCTAGCTCCGGGAGAAACTCTGAAACCCAGTCCTGGTGCCTGGCTCTGTAGCCTCCCTCCTGTGCTGGCGGAGTCCTGCACCTTTGTATATCCATTCCTCTCCCTTTTCCCCCTGTGGCCAGGAGGAAAGGCAGGATGGGGCAGTGGTTACACACACACAGGCTTTGCAGCTAGATGGTTGTGGATTCAAATTCCAGGTGCATCACTTTTTAGCTGTGTCACCTTATATAACTTAACTCACCTTCCTGAACTTTTCATCTTGCTAATGCAAATCACAATAGCAATCTCCTGGCTCTGGGAGGGTCACGAAAGGTCACCCCCAAATAAGCCTTTGTTTACATTAGGGTGGTAGCATTTTCCTTGATAGAGAATGCTAATCAGAAAGCCTCTTTACCATTTCCTCAGACTTCATGCCTTCTGAGAAGGGAAGGGAACAGACAGCATATAGAACCTCCCTGGTGGCACTAGGGGTTAAGATGCAACCTATGAAGCTATCTGCAGCCACTGCAGCATGAGTTCGATCCCTGGCCAGGGAGCTACCCACATGATGCAGCAGACCTCTCTTGACATGCCTGCTGCTCCCCTCAGCTGTGTATTTCAGGCAATATGCCTGTTCCTCTCTCCGCTCTGTCTCTGGTGAATACTCTCACCCCCCACCCCATACCTCTGGCCTGTACCCCAGTTCTTGTATGCATAAATAAATCTTTAAAAAAAAAAAAAAGAACCCACCTTGGGTCTCCTACCAGTTCACTTAAAATACTACCAGGACATGTTGTTAACTTACTCAAACTTACTCAAATTCTAATGTCTCTGGATGTAGTGAGCTGTTTTCCCTTTTTCTTCCTCCTTACTGATGGACAAAGGAAGATTTAGCTGTCTGGTTTGATGTCTTTTGGTGGGGTAGAGGGAGCTGAGAGTTGCCAATTCTCAGAAGTCTTGCGAAGAACCACCAGCTTTGCAGTTCTTCCCCATGAGAACAGAAATGGACTCTCAGAGGTTATGAACTGCCCAGCCTTGGTGGCTGGTGGGCAGTGTTTATAAGCCTCTGCCTTCTTGCACTAGCTCTCTTGGGCAGCTGAGACTTTGTGTCCAAACCGCAGACTCCTAGCCTCCAAGTGGAGCAGGGACTGGTTTGTTAGGTTTTCTTGGGAACACTGGGCCTGGGCACAAACACACAAATATAAACACACACACAATCTGGAGAAACAAAAACACCAGGGGCCTCCCTGGTGGCGCAAGGGATTAAGACACAACCTATGAAGCTGCCCATAGCCACTGCAGCATGAGTTTGATCCCCGGCCAGGACGCTGACCCACATGGCATGGCAGACCTCTCCTGTCTCCCCCGCTGCTCCCCTCAGCAGTGTATTTCAGTCATTCTGCCAGTTCTGTTCCCCGCTCTGTCTCTGGTGAATCCTCTCACCACCACCACCCACACCTCTGGCCTGTACCTCAGTTCTTGTATGCATAAATAAATAAATCTTTAAAAAAAAGGCAGTTGACTAGAGGCTTCTGGGTAGCATCATGGAAAAATCATTGAAGAAAGATAAGGGTATCTCCCTTGGCTGCTGATATGTTACATAAACTCAGCCAAGTCGGGTGGCTTCTCTGGGCTTCATCTGCCCCAGTGGTCAAAGGAGGAGATTGGATTAGATTAATGATTTTCAAATTGTGCTTTGAGGAACCCCAGGGGTTCCACACAAGGGTTGTTGGGGGTGAGAGGATGGGAATAGAGTGGGTGAGGCTCTAGACCTCTCCCCTCTGATACAATAAGAGCACTTCAGCTTTTATATAAATCTTCAGGCTAAGATTTCATTTGAACAAAAGAATCTGCACTTAAAAAGAGTTTGCAAAGAACTGGATTAGATGGACTTTGAAATACCTTTAAGCTCTAAAATTCTGTGATTGCCTCTTCCTCCTCCGAGATGAGGGGACCTCGATGTTTCTACTTACCACACTTTCCCTTCGTGTCACTGGTTTCTGAAATATTCTCATGTTTGGGTCTCACACATACCTTCTTTTCACCGGAGAGATTTTCAAGGAAAACCTATTGTTCTGCTACTTACTTTAGAAAAGGGCCTTTTGGAGAAATTACATTTTTTTCTATGCTCTCCTGGTGCAATGATTTCAGAGACACATTTTCTGGCAGTGGGTGTGTATGTCAACAAACTGTTTGTCCCGTGGTCCTGAATGTATAATACCACATCTCAGAGTGCCTTTGTGGGAAATTATAGGGCTCTGGACCAGTGGATAAAAGGGATGATTAAGATAAAACCAAAATAAAAGAGGAATTTGACTCTAATTAAGTCTAACCATCACACTGAACCTAAATTTGATTGGAGTGGAGATCTCGGATGATATCAAACCCTAAGCTTTTAAACACTGTATTATGAATGCTTGTTGTTGAGAAGAGCTGGAAACTGGGGATTGGGGCAGAAGGGGCAGAAGGGGCAGAAGAAGGAACGGAGCAGTTTAGAATTTCCAGTCTATCTTTCTTCTGGCGTCTCAACTACATGATAATAATAGGTAACAAGAAGTAGGTTTATAAGAAAAACTGAAAATACAGATGTGGATATATAAGTCTATACCTCTGAAACCTACATTATGTTGTCAACTAATGTTACTTCAATTAAAAAAAAATAAAACAACACAGTGACTAAGTCTTGATTCTAGGGGGAGACCTCCTGAGTTTGAATTCCTGCTTTGACATTTGTTGGCTGAGTGAGCCTGGGAATCTTAGTTAACAGGCTGCATCCCAGTTCCCTTGTCCATAAAATGGGAGAAAAACAACATCCGTTATGGTGTTGTTGGGTGAAGTAAAGGAGCAAAAACCTGCAGAGTGGGAAGGGCCCTGCGTGTGTGTTCTGTCACCTATGTGCTGACCTGTCACATTGGCTAAAGTCATTCAACAAGGAGACAATTAAGACGGAGGTGGCTCCAATGCCTTGGGAGCCTGTGTGAGCAAACTGAAACCACAGCCAGAGTCGATTGCAAATGCACTTGTACCTGCAAAAATGACATTTTAGGTTGTGTTGTTTCCATAGCTTAGCTATTGTAAAGAGTGCTGCTATAAACGTAGGGGTGCAGGTGCCCTTTGGAATTAATGTTTCTGTGTCATTTGGGTAAATACTTAGGGGTGGAATTGCTGGATCATATGGCAGCTCTATCTTTAGTAGGTCAAGAAATCTCCACAACCCAAATGCCCAAAAATAGATGACTGGATCAAGAAGATGTGGTACATATACACAATGGAATATTACTCAGCAATCAAAAAAGATAAACACATACAGTTTGCAGCAACATGGATGGAGCTAGAAGGGATCATGCTCAGCGAAATAAGTCAGAAAGAAAAAGAAAAATACTGGATGGTCTCACTTATAGCAGGAATTTAGAAAATCTAAATAAGAGACCAGGAAAAACACTAATTAATACAAAGTAAAAATCAAAATCAAGAAGCAACTATAAACCAGAGACACACTCTGGGGCCGGGGGAGGGAAGAGGGGAGAGGATGGATTAGGGTCAAAATAAGGGGGAACGCAATTGTATGGGGAATATAAGCATAACGAAAATGCATACATTGTGCAAAAATGAAAAATGATGTAAGAATTATATAAAATAAAATATAAAAAAATGACATTTTAAAACAACCAATATCAAACAGGCATTCCCAATAAGGCAACCACTTACACTCTGGCCAATCAATAATTTTCTTATGTTGCGCCCCTGTCTCCTCTGTGAAAGCCTTTCTCCTAACTCGTGTTGGTGGATGACCTTTCAGTTTGGTGCTGCCAGATTGAAATCAATGCTTGCTCCAATCAACTTTAAAAATTTTCATGTTCCTCAGTTTATCTTTGAACACATTCATTTACATTTAATTCTTATACATCTTTGATGAGAGAGTTGCTTATTATCTGCATTTTACAGATGAGGAAACTGAGTCATGGAAAGTTTAAGTGACTTGACCAATGAATGTCACACAGTTAATAAGTGGTAGAACAAGTACTTGAGTCCAGGCTGCCTATAGCAAGAGCTGTCCTCTAACCAGCCTTTGGGTGCTCTTGGGGTGGTCGTTTGGGGACAGGAATGTGGGAATCACACATAAACGAAACATTTCCCCTGTGCTAAGCATAGTGCTGGGAAACTGTCCCCTGTCTTTGTTGGATATTTTTCACAGTAACTCTGAGAAACTGTTATTTTTCACAGTAACCCCAGGACATGGCTATCACTGGCTTCTTTTTCAGATGAAGAAACAGATGTGCTGAGTGTCGCCCCACTGGTGAGGGGCCAAGCCTGGGTTGTTTGAACCACACACTATGGAAACGAGAGCTCAAGTTGGCTTCTCTCCTTTTATTGTGTCCTCAGCACTGGCCTCAGAGGGGATCCTTCTTTTTCTACTGGCTGTTGCAGGTAAAATCTTATCTTCTGGAACCTCATTGAATCCCTGGAGGCTACTATGGTTCTTGGGACAAAGAGGACACACAATACATGCATGTGTCCTAGACATGAATTAAGACAAGTCACCTGATGTAAGACCAGGGACCCTTACCTTACTCAGTATAATGGGGTCCATGCTTTCCCTAGACCCTGCCCCCTTTAACCTAGTCCAATATTTCCTTAATTATTTTTTAGGAATATTTCCTTAATTATATTTTAAGGTGGCAGATTGGGAAAGTCCTTAATTATTTTTTCTCTTTCCC